AAAAGAAAGGGCAAAAGTGGTAAACTTGAAGTGTTTGGGGGATCCAATTTTAATCTCACATGACACCAGTGATCACAGTAAAGTACATAGATTGCAGCATGGGAAGTTTTAGCTTTTAACAGTACTTTTTTTATTCATTTAGATCATGTGGACTTCAAAATCAATGTTGCCCCATACATAAACAATCATTCAATAATAAAATAAAATAAAATATAAAAAACTGAAAATAATAAGACAAAACATTTATTATCTTTATTATATTTCTATTTTAAAATAACTCCAAATTTGTGTGGATAGCTCAATTGCAATGCCATGAGGGCAAAAAAAACAGTGATGTGAACATGTGGACAATCAATGTCCAAGTATGTTTAGATGTGGGACTACTTATATACACAACATTCTACTTAATACTTAGACATGGCTGTGGGCGGCCCGTCTCCCGGCACCGGACCCGCAACCGGCCCGAAAAAATGCAGTTCTGAGAATCGGGACCGTGCCCTTGCGGTTCAGTCTCGTTTCACACTTTTTTTTCCCAGCGGGCCGGGGTCGGTCCAGGATCGGGCTGGAACAGAGTCGGTTCACGGGCCCGGTCCTTGGTTTTTGACAGATAGGTCAAGGGTCACCTATGGGAGACTCGTCGGCCCAGCCCGTTGACTGGCCAATATTAAAATGTCACAGGTACTCTAAAAAGTAATATACATAAAAGTGATATAGCACAAGAGAATAACTAGGTGGACCGGATGAGAAATTAGCTCGACTGGAGAGCTGAGGGAAGCCATCAGTTCGACTCGATGGTAATAGCGTTTTGGGATGGTAATGGGTCGGCCTAGTAGTAGTTGGTCGGATGAACCTTGGCCCATTAGTAGTTGAGTTGGATGTAACTCGGTCTAGCGGATATCTTAGTAGCTCGGTCGGAGAAATAGCCTGACATGGTTAATAGCTCGGCTATACATGATGAAGGGGTTTTCATTGACTCAGCATGATATTAACAACTCGACATGTTAAGGGTGTCAATAGGTTGGCCCAATTAAGAATACCAACAGCTCAACGTACCATGCTCGGCCTTAGACTAGCAGCTCGGTGAACCGGCGAGGACTTGCTCGGGTTACCGAGCAAGTTAATTAGTCTAGAAGCCCGGAGTTGGCAGTTCGGAATTATGATAAGGGTCGAACATGAAGAATAATCTATGAGGGATACGTGTAGCGTCACGATCAAAATGGAATAATAATATAACGTGCGGAGAACAAAGCGTATGGAAAAAGCTAAACAACTACATACAAATAGGTAAATGAATGAAAGAGGTAAGGTTAATCACACTCTACAAACCCTAATACTACTTATAATTACATATAACTCTTATCTATCCTTACTGATTTGAGTGTCGGAGGTTTAACGCCGGGAACACCGGGAGAGCTGCACCATAAAAAAGTATGCCAATTTAAAAAAAAAAAATATAGTTGATGGAGTGTGATTAATTATGGATTCACACAAAAATTTATATATATTTAAGTAATTTGGTACGAGAGTTCACATGTTTTGACCGGTGTGGCATTGGTTCCAATCTGCGTCAATGGTCCTTTAAATTTGACACTTTTCTAACCAATCTTTTGATTTTTCTTGGCAAAAAGCAAGTTTTTTCTTTAATTCCACCATTCTCACTATTTATTTATTGCGCACGAGAGACAAAAAAAAATAGATTTGATAGGTATGTTTTTCTTATTCTTTAATTCAAAAAATCCCATAGTACTTGCTGGCCCAGCCCATGAAGAACAATAATAAGCAGATAATGGGCCAGCCCACAAGATGTTTAAGCTGGGGCATAAGCCCACGAGTATTGGAGGCAAAACAATACAAGTGTCTAGGAGGCATTTCATCGAACAACTTGTTTGCATTTCGATGAAACGAATGCTCAACAATCTAACATCTCTTGCACAAATTTCCAATTATTTAAAACGTTTCTAAAGACTAGAGAAGAGTATGTGTATCGCTGTGGGTGTTCGCGCCGGCCAGTCGGTGAGGTTTGAGCGTGTTTGTGCCGCCGGTATTTGCGTGTGACTTTCTAATACTGATTCTATTAAATTCCATCATTTCGATTAAAACAAACATACCGATTAAAGTATTCAGTTAAACTGACTTTCTAAAGAGTACTAATTCCATTAAACAAACATACCGGTCCATTAAGTTTAAGTCACCCCTCATTAAAATCTAAGATATACCATAAACGTTGTCTTAAGAAACAACCTTCTATGAGTTCTTGTAGCTGCTTAGGCATAGAAAGGAATTAGATTTTCTGCATTTATTTTTCTTTGATCGATTCAACATTTGGTAAAAAAAAAAAAAAAAACTTAGTTATATTTCATTTCTTCAACAAGTTTAGTAATGAGCATAACGATCTTGTTGTTTAGATGGTCTCCAAACTTCTACTCCAAAATTGTTCAATTATAAACATTGTCTTCAAACCAAATTACCAAATGCATTGTTTACCAAATGCATGGTTATAACTAATTAGTTGTTAGTTGGATTTTGAGTTTTCATTATAATAATATTTAAAATCAAATAATTAAAATTGATTTGATGTAAAGTAGTTGAGAGTTGATAAACAATGATTATTAGTTAAAATTACGTGAGTGAATGAAAAGTGATTAAAATAAATGTGATGTGTAAGTTTGTGAAAATGATTGAGAAGTTTTATTTTATTTTATTTTATTTTATTTTATTGGTACAATGGAAGGAGACCGGAGCTTAGCATCTCTAGAGAGTCGTGTTCCGTGGGTACGCAACGCCAAAGACGTCATGCGTTAACCACGGTTTGACCTCTGTCGGTGGTACAAACAATCGCTGACAACCATTGGGACATGAGTGGGCTAGCGTCGCCAGACAATCCACAGCAAAATTAGCTTCGCGATAACAGTGCTCAATGGGCACTGTCCAGTCTCGACACACCATCTCTCGAATGGCTCTAACAATCGCGTCGTGCACCCCCCAACTCTCGACTGGGGTCCCCGTGACCATATTGACTACACTTTGGTTGTCAACGTCCGCGACAACATTCCGATATCCCAAGTCCCAAGCTAGTTGGAGACCTTGGAATAAGCCCCATAGCTCAGCGCCCATAATCGTAGTATATTCGATATTCATGACGAAACCTCCAAGCCACTGGCCTCCGTCATCTCGCACAAGTCCTCCCGCCGATGCCATGCCTGTGGACCGAATAAGAGAGCCATCCGTATTAATTTTAACTATCTCAGCTGGTGGAGCCCTCCAAGCGATCCAACGGGTTTGTCGGCCTACACCTAATCCACCCATAATCCTCTCGGTCGAGACCACCACGTCAATATTTTTAACTATTTTATCAATTTTCCTCACTTTTTGTGAGACCAAAAATTCTTTATCCGCTAGAAGAGCCTCATTGCGACCATTCCATATTCTCCAAGCAGTTACACCAAATAAAGTTTCCCATCCCTTAATACTCACCTGCAACTTGTTGAGTAAATTTTGCACAACCCACTCTTGCAAATTCAGGTTAAAGAAAAGGCCCTGAAATTGCACCGATAGCAAACGTTTCCAAATTTGAGCCGCTTTATCACAATCCCGTAATGCGTGGATCACAGATTCCTCGCCCCCCCACCACACAACATGCAGCTTGGTGAGCTCGCTAAGTGACGCCGGCTCCGCTCCAAATTCGTCAGTAATTTGTCGTGTGCTGCGAGCCATAGAAATTGTCGAACGCGTTGAGGGCCAACCCAATGCCAAATTGAATTCCATAACACTCGGTTGTTTCTCAGCGCGGGCGGGAACAACGAGGTGTAAGCGGACTTCGTTGTGAAATTCCCATTTTCCGAGAGTCCCCAGTAGATTGAATCTTCACCGTTGAGGTCATCTGGAGGTAATATCGAGGCAATTATGAGCAACACCCCCGCCGGCAACCGGCTCGCGAACATACTCCAATTCCATGCACCATCGTTGGTCACAAATCTAGCCATTGGTAACTCACGTTGTTCCTACGGGATTGGCCCTGTCGCAAACAAGTATAGTGGCGTCGCAAGATGACACCACTTATCCCGCCAGAATTTAGCTTATCCAAAAACTCAAAACATATATGCCTCCTTGTCGCGTTGCTCCCTCTTACGTCCTCAAGTGGCCGACAAACTCGCCTTCTCCCCTAGTTCGTTCTTTGAGCGCCATGGCCGGCGACTAGAGGTTGGCCTCTGCTGGGGCAAGCCGACGTCGGACCTCGACTGTTGTGTACGATGCCGAGGCCAATGTCGGGCGTCCTCGCCGGGCTACGGTCTTCTTCCTTGGCTCGGGCTGGTGGCTAGTTGGTCAGCTTCGATGGGTGTTGATTGAAAGTGATCGACTGCATTGAAGGCTTGATTGGGCTTGAGGTTCTCAGATCTAGCCAGGCATAGCCGTTATGAAGTTTGGAATTTTTGGACCAAATTTCTTGACTGAGATCGAGCTCTACTTTGTATGCTATCTTTAATTTGTTGTTGTGAGAGGCTGTAGTGTGGGTGTTGTTAGTCGTTCATCGAGAAGACTTTATTGTATCTTTTAGGTGTGTGTGTTAGTTATTTTATTTGTTTGTTTCTTTTTGTTTTAGTTTTAGTCCAGCTTTCTATGATTTCAGTCTTATTTATGAAGTTTTTTATTCTTTTTTAAGAGTTAGTTTATACTCCCTTAGTCTCTCGGAATCCCAATTCCTCTTTATGCTGGTTCTAGTGGTGTTAGTTAACACATTTAACCAATTTATTTGAGTTTTCAGTTTTAATATAATTATTCTTTTGAAAAAAAAATAAAAATGAATAGGACCATAATTGCAATTTAGCCGAAATATATTTATGAAAAAAAAAAATAAAAAAAAAAAAAATAAGTTTCATATTCTGCCCTAATTTCATCCCCAATTCCATTTTCAGCGATCGCAATCGAAGTTGAAATATAAAAACAGGTTTTTAAATGTAAACCTTATTTTCATTACAAAAATGCCAGTAAACTCCAATGCCCTTAGAAAATTAGTTGAACTTGAAGCCAAAATTACTGCTACGCAATCATGTTCTCGTCCCAACCAGCCATTTTCTCCAATCGGAGCAAGTCCGTACTCATTGCCGGAGAACCATACTTCCGCACCCCATTCGGCGCCGGAAGTGCGCCGGCGGTTGGTGCCCAGAGACGATTTTGGCAGCTCTAGAGGAAAGGGGTCAGAAAGTTATCGAGCATTTGCTTCAGAAAGTGACAGTCTTTACAGACGGAGAGGAGGAGGTTACAGAGGGGAAGAGGATTCTGGAAAGTGCGAGGAGGAGGACGACGACGACGATGATTTTAGGGTTTTGAGTTCATTCGTCAGGACCAGAGTGAAAACAGAAGTTCGCGACAAAATCAAAGTGGAAACCGAAGACGACGAATCGGAACACCCATTAGTGAGAGAAACCTGCAGGTTGATTGCTCTCAGGGCCGCGTGGTCCCCGGATCAAGAATCCGAGCTGAAGCATCTATTGCGCCGCCTGAAGCCGGGCCAAGTCTGTGCCGTACTACGGGCCCAGCCGGACGAGAGGGTTGCACTGGAATTCTTCCTCTGGGCCCACCGGCAGTGGAGGTACAGACACGACCCACTCGTTTATCACGTGATGCTAAAGGTTCTTAGCAGGACCAAGCTTTGCCAGGGGGCTAAACGAGTCCTTTGTCTTATGATCCGAAGGAGGATTGAGCTCCGGCCCGAAGATTTCGGTTGCGTGATGGTGTCTTTCAGTAGGGCCGGACATTTGAGGAAATCCTTGCAGATTTTAACTCTTATGCAGAAAGCAGGTGTTGGGCTTGATATATCGGTTTGCAACACGGCAGTTAATGTTTTGGTGGAAGGAGATAAATTGGAGAAGGCTTTGAGGTTTACGGAGAGGATGAAGGCGGTGGGAATCGAGCCTAATGTAGTCACGTATAATTGTTTGATTAAAGGATATTGTGAAAGGAACCAGCTTGATTGTGCAGTGAAGGTGATCGATGAAATGCCAATGATGGGTTGTTCTCCGGATAAAGTGAGTTACGTGACTATAATGGGTTTTTTGTGCAAGCACAAAAAAATCGATGAACTGAGAGGGATTCTTCAGAAAATGCAGCAGGGAGTGAGTAAATTGTCTCCCGATCAAGCCACGTATAATACTCTCATCCACATGCTCTGCAAAAATGGCCATGCGGAGGAGGCTTTAGGGTTTTTACGTGAAGCTGAGAGAAAAGATTTTTGCATCGACAAATCGGGGCACACTGCAATAGTGAACTGCTTTTGTCGTGAGGGTAAAATGGATAAGGCTAAGGCCGTTGTGGATGAGATGCTGTTAAAAGGATGCAACCCTGATGTCGTGACTTATACTGCCGTTCTTGATGGGTTCTGTCGTTTGGGAGAGATGGAACGAGCTAAAAATTTGCTAAAACAGATGAGCAAACATAACTGCAGGCCCAACTGTGTATCTTATACAGCCTTGTTAAACGGGCTCTGCCGAAAAGGAAATTCTTCGGAGGCTAGAGAGATGATGGACATGAGTGTGGGCTGCGGGTGGAGGCCCAATGCCGTGACTTATAGCGTAATCATGCACGGATTTCGTCGTGAAGGGAAATTTTCCGAGGCCTGTGACGTTGTAACTGAAATGATCGGGAATGGGTTTTACCCATCTCCCGTCGAGATTAACCTCTTGATCAAGTCTCTTTGCCAGGCTGGCCAAACGGAGCAAGCGAAAAAATTCATGGAAGGGTGTCTGAAAAAAGGTTGCGCTGTAAATGTCGTAAATTTCACGACCGTAATTCACGGGCTCTGCCAAGCTGGCGACTTGGACTCAGCCCTTTCGGTTTTCGACGATTTGTATTTGAATAACAAACACCCGGATGAGGTGGCGTACAATGTAATTATAGATGCACTGGGAAAGAATGGTAGAATAGGTGAAGCTGTTCAGATGACTCAGAAGATGCTTCATTGTGGCCTTTTGCCTACTCAGTTCACTTATAAGTCTCTCATCCATAATTTTTGCCAGCATAAGAAAGTAGATGATTTGTCGAGACTGATCGAGAAAATGCTCAGGAGGGGAAAATGCGAGACGGTTTATAACCAGTTTATTGAGAAGCTTTGCAGTTTGGGTTATGCGAATGAGGCTTATAGTCTTTTGGGGAGAGTTTTGAGAAAGGGCTGTAGAAAGGATGCTGATACGTGTCACGTTCTTATGAGAAGTTATTTGAAAAATGGGGATCCAATTGGGTCATATCGAGTGGCTTGTAGAATGTTTAAGCAGAATTTGGTGCCCAACTTGAAGCTCTGTGAGGAAGTGAGTAAAAAACTGATTTCGGTGCAGAAATTTGTCGAGTCGGATAAGCTCATGCTTCTGTTTGTGGAAAACGGGCATGTCTCGATTAAGGATAGTGAGGCTGCAGTTTGAGTCGGATAAAGGGATTACTTTCAAGAATCGGTTATTGGTAATTACTTCACCTCAATGCAATCCCTATCAGCTGATTTTTTATTTTCTTTGTTTTTTTTGGCCTAAATTTCTAATCTTGAGCTATATTACTAAATAGTCTTACTTGTTACCCTACTATTAAACTTTTCAAATTTTTGTTTGCAGAATGCAATAGAGAGGGAAAGAAAGAAAGAACTGAGAAAGAGACAAACGGAAAATGAAAGAACGGATGCTCGGTATGGAGTTCGGGTTGAGCTATTAATTTATTGTCGACATGTTTTATGCTTACCTACATTCACAAGCAACTCTTTTTAACATAATTATTCTATTTTCCACGCAGATCGTTTATTGCTGTTATTGAATAACGACGAGTACATAAATGATGAACCACCTGGAAACAAATGCTGGAGGCCCATTTCATATATGACTCGAGACTCGAGTGAACTTGGCATGGTCTTCTATTTTTTTGTTCTCAGTTTTAAAATTCAATATTTTTCGACTAATTGTGATGGTTACCCTTTGAACAACACATGGCTAGATGGGATACTCACAGACATAAGCGGGCAATGGTCATTAGGGAACATATATTGTTCCAGTCTAACTATAGTGTCCCTTGTTGATCGAGCATTTTGGAAAAATCGTGCAGGTCTTTTTACCGTTAGATCACACACACCCACACACCCACATGGATGTGTGTTGATCCGTACTTGGTGAGACCACTGCTCTCACTGGTAGGATCGACTTTACCGAGTATTTTTCTTGGCCTTCAGCCTTCGACTACTTTTACATGAAATCAAGTTTCGATTTTTTTTTGGTCCTTTCTTTCTTACTTACTTTTTTATATATTTTTCCACCTTCTTGAGTGCAAATAAAGTGATTAATGCTTGTAACTGATTTGATCAAATTGCACATGATATCCATAAAATCCTTTAGGTACCAATTGTGTAAAGGCACTAGGCTTAACAACCCATCTTAGATCTTACATAAACTAAGGTTCCATGAGAGGGCAAAAGCAAGTGATTTTTGGTAGGATCACATGGTGCTTGTAACACAAAACCCTACAGATTTGGACACATGTCAGTCACCCAACCAAGATTTCATTTTTATTTTCAAATAATATAATAAAAATACTATTAGATCAAAGAATTCTTTTTGCATAGATACAAGCACTATGGTGTGGAGTAATTCACAAGAAGACATATATAAGATTCAAATGCTAGCTACAAGACATTAATTACATAACAAGAAATGATAAACCAAAATACTATCCAAGTCATTTGCATCAAATCAAGTTCACATTTTTTTTTTTTTTCATTTTTCTTTTTAAGATCAATAGAGGTTCCTCACTTACTCTCTGTATGACTCGATCAATCCAAGTTCAGAATTAGATGTAGATGTTTGGAACTAGGGATAGGTGACCACTTAGTCAAGTCGGCCCGTTGAGCATGGTTACAGTTCAAGGCTTCAAAGCATTTTTACTCGATGGGTTGGGCCTCGAAATTTAATCTGATTGGCTGGTCAGGACTTGCTACAATTTAATCTCGGCAGTTGGATCTTGCATTCGTTGCAAAGATCAATGGTTAGGATTCATCCAACCTGCTGGGTCGGCGCGTTCTTTTTTTTTTTTTTTTAAATAGAACTGACAAGTCTGAACCTGGATTGATGGTTTCTTGGATTGGAGCCTCCATTCCTCCTTGGGCCGGATTCGGATTCTCATTTTGCGACCCTGTCGAGTCGGGTCCTTGTAAACTAGGATTAAATATGGGGGTGTCTATATGTCCACCCCCTTGTGTGTAAAAAAGGGGTGTACATATAGCACTTTTCTTTGTGTAATTTATTAAAAGGTGGTGTACATATAGCATTGCCCTTAAATATTTATGTAACCCAAGAAAAATCTTCCAAAAAAAAGGTGCAAATACATAAATTTATGTGGTTGATTTTTGTTTTGGGATCATCATAATCATAAATCAAACCTAACCCATCAATCAAATCCCCCTTACCAAACATCCCCATAGGACAACAAGCATTAAATCCTTTTTGGGTTCCAACTGGTAAAGATTGGCTAACACCACTTTTTATTGAATAAATAATATTTGTTTTTCAAAGAAATTAATGATTACTTTCATTAGTTTTCAAGCAAAGATGAATGAAAAAAAATTAGACAGAGGAGATATAATTAGAATAAAATAAAAACAACATGCATTGTCTCCTTTGGAGTTGTCAACTATCTTTTCCCTCATTTTTTTCTATCACCTTTTTTTTAGCCAGCCACGGTATCTGAAGTTATGCCCCGACTAATCCGTTGGTCAACCTAGGTCGCACACCAGACAGTGGTGAGTGATACTCCTAACAAGGATTTTCTAGATGCACAAGGACTCGAACTCGAGACATTGCTTAAGGGACATCAAACTACTTACCACTTGAGCCAACTCGGTTGGTTTTCTATCACCTCTTTTCAATTTTATATGCCCGCTCTTTTTTAATTTTATTTTATTTTATTAATCTAATTCGACCCATTCCACACTTTTTGCCATCAAAATGTCAATTAAATTTATGTAACTTGATTGGTGAAAAATAAGCTGCGCAATGTTAGCTTATTAATTCCTCGTGCCTCTTGTCCACGTCTGTTTATTCGACTATCATTGTCATTGGACATTGGAGAATTTGGGTTTGTTTATAATCATGATTTTTTTTTAATCCTTTTTTTCGCTTAGCCCAAACGAAATCATTAATGGAAATCATATTTTCTAATTGAATTTCACATAAAAAACACTATGAAGTCACCAATGACTCGACTTATGGAGTCATTCATCATTGTTTACAAATGACGTATTGAATATGTATCAGTACATAAAGTTATTGATGACTTCATAAGGAAACCATTCAATGGCTCCATAGAATTACGGTAAACAACACAAGGAAAAGAAAGGTGAAAAGAAATCATATTTTCAAATTGAATTTCACATTAAAAAACACAAGGAAAGAAATGTGGTATTTTTCGTAGTTTTATTTTGATATGTACCATTTTTTACTTCTAACTTTTTGTCAATTTCACCAAATAAAATTTTTAGGGTTTCAATTTTATATATAATAGTTTTTAATTGTGTGTTAATTTTTATATATTTGGGAAAATATCGAACATTTAGATAATTGAAAATCTAACATTGAAATTCTAGCTCCTTGGCAGCATTCACCACATCGATTTTTACGGCCAATTTACGAGTAACACCTTGTCCAATACTAATGAACGACCTCTTGTTTTGTTCGATTTTTCTCTGTCTACAGAACCCCTTAATTCGTTTTATTAGGTTTTATGTTCGTTATCGACGATAATTTAAGTTTAAAATTGCCCACATTGACATATATATTTCTTGTCTGATTATTATTAATATTCCAATTTTCTCTTAGACATGCTTTGAATTTAGTTATAAGAAGGCATCTATCTATAATCTACAGTTAGAAAAAAAAAAAAAATAAAGTAATCAATTTTTTATTTTATTTCTAATTTCCCATGTGAAGATTTTTTGGCTGTTCTCAAAGAGACGTGGGAAAAAGAAAAATAAAGGAACTTGTTAAGCTGATTTTTTAGCACAATTATTTCAACGTTGTGATATTATTGAAGAAAATCATGTAATTGTGTGCACATTAGTAGATAAAGTCAAAAGGTAAAAATGAATGGTGAAGACCGTCATTCCCCCCTCCAAAAAATTATTTTAAGAAATTAATTGATAATGACATAAATTAATTAAAATAATTGGATAATTTAAGAAATTATTTTAACAAATTAATTGAATAACAATATATACTTATGCGAAAAAAATTTAAAAATAATTGGATAATTTAAATTTTATTTTGATCAAATAATATTATTAGTATAAATTTGATTCCTATTTTTCATTAGTTTATATTTGCATATTAAAAAATTCAATCTTGAATTTCACTATAGTTACTTTAATTAGGGGTCGAAGTCGTAAAACTTTTTGATTATTTATTTTGAATAACGACTACGTGGATGAAAAAAAAAATATATATTGTATTAATTAAGCAGCTTATTTTATTATTAATTTTAAGTCAAAAATAAAGACTTGTGTGCAATTATAATAAGGAGATTATCTAAAAATAAAAGATAGATATACGCGTTTATATATATATATGCTCTCGAATATGAGTCAATTGTTCGGTAACTCAAGTTTCTACAAGTAAAGTAGAAGGCTAATCTCATTATCTACCCTAATAATTTCACATTATTTATAGGGAAGTTAGCTAAATCCATGATAATTGACAATGATATCATGCTTGACAAGAGCTAGAAACGAGCTGGATCGAACTCGAGTTCGGCTAATTTATTAACATATTAACAAGTTCAACTCGAGCTTTAATATGCTGACAAAGGTCAAATTAAAAAAAATAAATCGTACAATTCCTTGTTCTTGAACGAGTCGAGCTCGTAAACTAAACGAGCCGAGTAATTGAGCCGAGCTGACGAACAATTCGTTTCATTTAAAATTTTTATGCGTGACTAATAAAGCCAAACTAATATTGATATTGTTTTAAATGTCTCAAAAAATTCAAATTGAATATATCAATTATAGGGGGAGAATTTGTTTATAAATTAAACCCTCCTAACATTGGAGAGCCCCCAAAAATATGTATAATTTCACAAATTGAGGGGACAAACAACGCTATACCGTAAAGGAATGGACAATGAAGTTAGGTGAATTTACATAAATCAACTTTTCATGTTAAAATTATGATTTTTTTCCTAAGTAAAGTCAAATTTATATAATATCACAAGATTAATTTTAAATTTTATTCTCTCTCAAAACTTTAAGTGGATCTTAAGCAATTGGCATAGTTTTTATTTTGGAGGTCACTCATACATTAACATTAATGGGTTTTCTTTTTTTTTTTTCTTTCTTTTTTTTCCCAAAAATTTTGTATGAAACGATCTAACCACTAGACATATCGATTCATAATAAATTTTTATTGACGAATTAAAGATACATATTTTATTCTATAAAATGTCATACTTTTATTTATGTATATGAATGTATAACCTTCAATATGTCTTAATTTTTACTCCTTTTTAATTTTTAATCCCTTCTTAGAAAAAAAAAATAAAAAATAAAGTGACAAGGCAAATATAATATAATTTTTTTTTTAAAAAAAGAAAGAAAAATAAAAATAAAAAACAAGCTTTATATTGTGGAGTGGCACAGTGTAAACGATATGCAACACTCTACTTAATTAGCAATCACTGCCCGCAGGCACGCGCCCCCCTCCAATCCCCGCCGCCCGCCGCTCGCCGGAAAAATCCATCGACATGGATGAGTATTGGAGAATGAGGATGGGAATGCCCAAAATGCCGCCGCCGCCGCCATCAGGGTACCCACCGGACCACGTCCCCGGCCGATCCACGGCGGCCGACGCCTCCCACCGCCGGAAAAACCCCATCTCCGACGAGCCCCTAAACCCCGAGGACTTCGACGACGTCTTCGGCGGGCCCCCTCGCACGGTCCTCTCCGGCCGATTCGCCACCGCATGCCAGAGATCGCTGTCGTCCTCGTCCTCCTCCGGCGGCTTCATTTACGAGGAGATCTTCCGGCAGGCCGAGAGGGCGCCGCCGCCGCCGGATGGCAGGACCGGACGGATTTTGCCGGAGTTTAGGATCCCGGGTCAGAAGGGTAGCGATTTCTACAGTGATATCTTTGGGTGGGAAGATCATGAGAGGGTGGTGAGGTCAAGGTCACGGTCGAAGGCAAGCTCATCGTCGGTACTGAGCTCGGAGGAGCTCAGCCCTCTCCAGCCGGCGGCCGCCGTCGACGGCCACGATGATGTTTCGTATTTCGCCTCGAAACTCAGGTGGGCTCTTGGTTTTGGTCTTTTGAAAGTTGACATTTTTGTTTTTTTTACTCTGTTTTGATGTTTTTCTGATTATGTTATGCCAATTGATTTTGTTGACAAAGAAACTAAAAATCCAATCTTTTTTCCATATGAAACTGCATTTTTACTTATTGTTCAAGCTATTTCATCACAATTTGATAATTACCTGATAAACATTAAAAAGATTGTGTTGAATGAAAGAAAAGGGCTTTAATTTTAAATTTGCAGCCAAGATTAGAGTTTTTAGCTCTTTTTGCAGCAAAAAATAATAAATAAAAAAT